TCAGTGCTTAAGAATTGAAGAACAACGGCTGATTTGCCAAAAATAAAGATTTCATTCGGGAGGAATGTAAAAAATCGTTGCCAATAAACAGATTTGCTAAAATTGGTTGTGCCTTTTAAGCACCCGTTCATTAGGCCTGACCGGGGCTTTGTTCGATTTACCGCAAGTCACTGGTAAGATCAAGACAATACACACACGAGTAACCTTTAACAATATTTAAATTGACTTAGTAAAGATTCAGGGAGTACGTGACGGGGAGATGAATTCCTTCGTTTACCGAAATAACCACAAAGATTTAGGCCGATTGCTAATTCAGAAGCAGCTAAGAACCGTCAAAGAACGCGCGACACACTGTGTGCTATTCTATCATCTTGCAAATTGGGCGTTATCAAAAATTTTTTTGCACTGTTGTAAAAATCGTTGGTAAATGCGAATCAACCGGATATCTCGACTGACCCGAGTGAGAATCAAGCCACAACAATAACCACGGACTATAACGCGTGAAATTACCCAAAATAAATCCATGGTAATGAAGCTAAAGTGAGCACTAAATGATTTAGTGAGAGACAATGAAAAATTCCTGAAAGTCATTACTATAAACTACAGACTTCCGATTCTAAATGGACTCACCGTCTTTCGGTTCCTTCGTCGCAGACCATTTCTGTTTTTCTCTGCCAGAAAACGAGCGGGCCCTTTTGACTTTGACGCCACCAAAAAGTTTCCCCTTGAGCCCTGGAAGAAAATAATTTGATTGAGAACGGCTTCAAGTTGAAATATACCGCTGCGCGCAGAACAGAGGCAAACTCGGGATAGTAGCACAGCTGTCCTCGCGACAATTAGAAAGCTTCAAGCGACGAAATAACGCGAGACTCGAAAGCATCTGTTTTTACCTGAGCTCATGGTAGCTTCTGTGAGCTCAAAAGGACGGTATGATCGCAAAGACGTAAACTAAGCCACATCAATTATGAGCTCCAATTAGCGCTGATGCGCGATCACGCTCGCAAAGCGACTGCCGTAAAAACATGAACACGCAACGCGACTGGCAAACACAGACTGACTGACTTAAACGTCAAAGATAGCAAAACAATTCCGACACGCTTCGGTAGGGGTTGAAGAAAAGCATCATAGGAGAACTCAACCTGATTGGTTTAGATTGTTCGATGCGACTGCGGAAAAAAAGGTTGACAGGTCTGACGAGAATTGTAATGGACCGGGGTAAACATTTCAACGCGTGTCTGGATCATTTGACTCTCGAATTTGCAGCTGTGCGAATACTTCCTTAATAGCTCCTCTTTAGGAAACTTCCAATGCCGGCAGGCGAGCCCTCGGCGTGGGAAAGGATTTTCGGCCAATCTGTAAGCTGGGATAACGTTCAATTTCGCCATCAAGTCTTTGACAAGATTAGATTTAATCTTTGCCAAGATCACACATAAAAGCGGATTCAGGTCAAGACCTTAAGGGCAGATTTCGATTTGATAGAGGCAAGTCAATTTGACCACCACAAATATAGAACAAATGTCACACAAAACTAAAGAAGAATATGTCGCCATTTTAGCCCCCCGTTTAGCTTGCACCCCGTTGCCAAGAGCACGCATTGCTCTAAAGTTTGTCCAGTAGCCGAAAGCGCAGTTTAAGGGTTTTTAGTCTCATTTTAAGCAAACACCTGAACAGATACTGTTTCATTTTGCCCGGAATAGCAAGAAATGAACTCTGATCTGACACAGGAACAGATTATTAAAGGAACATCTTCGATTTCTGGGCGTTGTCTATAACCAAACCAAACAAGCCTCTGTCCAAGTTAAGACTGCCCAAATAGAGTGAATTTGTATATTTGTCACAAATACAGAACTCTGTACACAAATCACACAAGAAACTGTTTGCAATTAATCAGAGGTCAAACTTACTTCTTGAAAACACTTTAGCCAAAGTATGCTAATCAGGGTTTTCTTGTTGTGCTTCGTTGCGCTTGTCAAAGAAAACGGCGCGATGGAGCGAGTTATAATTGGCATTTTCAAGAGGAACAATAAACACGCTCTCTGTTCTTTTGTTGTATAATTGAAGAATGGAATGTTTGGACGATAATTCCTTTGATACGAAACATAAACACAATAGATACAAAGCTTTTTAATTTGACAGCGCGCAAACTATTCTTTCATAAAATCGTGCGAGGATTCGTGGCGCTGTTGTGGACAGTCGTAGCACGTTTCGATAATGCAATAATTCTTCTGAAAGACATTGTGGCTCGAGAGGAAGATTTCACTTATGCTTTTCAAGCTAACTAATTTGAAGAATATGCGGTGTTTTACACTATTTCCAACGCGCAAGCAAGAAATATGTCAGTTTGTATTAAGAATAGCGCACAGAATTTTCGGCCTGGAGGTATGGCGGGGTATTAAAAGTCCATCGATTATAATTAACTGAATTAAACCACCCTCGCCAATCAAATCACATGCACCTAATGAAAAGTGCCACAAAACAAAAGTTTTGAAACTAATTAATTTCCATATATGCATTTCGCCGATAAAAGTAAAATATAAAACTTTAAGGTAAAAAAAAGGACTTAAAGTTTTATGTTTAATTAATTTCCGACTCCATTGTCTTAAAGGAAGACAACTTTCAAATGTGTAAAAGAAAACTATAGCCAAGGAAGATTATACATACACTTAAGGAAGGCTGATTTTTTTTTTTTTTTTTTTTTACATCAAGACCCAAACCCATGATTTACTATAGAAATTTAAATTTCGGCAAAACAGATTCGTTCCATGAACTTTTATACAAACAAGTTTTGACAACTTGTCTCGCACAACTTGACAATAAGTACAACAATAAAAGCTGACCGAGGCAGTATTTTCATTCGCATGCACTGTACTTCCGTATACCCCGTGTATGCCACCTAATCTAGTTCTGCATCGACTCCCTTTCCTAGAGCAATTGTCCAATCGCCTTTTCCAATCGAACCAATCACAGCTGGGCTGACCTACGGCGGTAACAAGAATAGTTTATAGAGAAGCAATCAGAGCTTGAAGCAAGGACAACCAATCGCAATCGAGGGAAAATGGACTGAAAAACACGCAACAGTTGTCGAGCGCGCACAGGAAACATTACCGGTACCAGTCCGTTTTGCGCGGGAAAAAACTACACGTAGCTGGTGCGAATGAAGTTCAGCGCGGCCAAACATACAAACGGCGCCAAACTTAAGGAAGTCGCGCGCAAAAGCCAAATCACAACTGTTTTGGGTTTTGTAACTGATTTCTGTCTAGAAAAGAACATTTATACTGTGATTGGATTATACTACACGTTGCAAGAGTGGTTTTTCAAAACAACAACCCTGCAATTTGGAAAGCCACTGGTAAACTGTCAAGAAGTAGAAAAAAATAAGTTTAACTCTCCCCAGTCACCGAAACATATTTTGTTCTGAGTATGTATGACATACACAGTCTATTAGCTTTCCAGCCAAGGGAAGAAAATACAAACTGCCACGTTCGTTAAGCAAAATCTCTCCCAAAGCTATCTCCAGCCATGTTGTTATGGAATGTGTCCCAGCTAGTATTTGCTCGACAACCAGATGACGAACTCAGATGTCAGCACTGACATTATTTTAAAATAGTTTTCAACAAATAAAATGAAGGGGCGTTTAAAATTGGACAACAAGAAACGTCGATGACATCAATCGTTTCCCGATGAAACCTGGCTGTAAATACGAATATTAAGTTACACATGCCTAGAGTTCAACCTTTTTTACGACCCAAGAACACAACCACAGAAAACAAACTTTCAACGCGATGTCGGATGAAAGTTAACTTTGAAATTGCAAGATTTAAAACATCTCTCCAAGTTAAAGGTCTTTCCTCTCTGACAAAACCAGCTTATCGCAATAGATACACCATAACTAGCCCTGAATTCCGAAAAGTTTTCCAACGGAAGCCTTACCACGGTGGAAAAAAACCGGAAATAACTGTTATCTAACGCAACATTCTGGCACAAAACTCAAAACGAGGTTAATCCACTCATGATCTACTGTTGTAAAAGAGGAAAAGAACGGCAGCATTTGCCTGTCACGTGCATACAACAACGTGTTTTGGATGTGAAACAAGATACTCGTGTTTTCTTTTGTCCCGGGGGGTACTCCAAGAAAAAGCTGAGTGGGGGTGTGCAGCCCGCTTCCCAAAATCCTTAACCTATTTATTATCGAAATCTGCGATTTTCCCTACCCTATTTATGACCTGACCAAAAATTCGATACCTTATTTATGACCTGACGCAGTTGCCGTCAACATTATTTGTGAAGGGCTTTTGTTGATGGTGTTATCGATAATGATGAAAAAGTAGCTTCTTCTAAAAACCATAACCAATTTAAGACCAGAGTGCAAAAACCATACTAAGACCAAAATGGCCAAACTCGATACCCTGTTTATGACCAAAACGGCTGAAAAAACCATATCCTTTGGGGCCGCACGTACGTATATAGATATAGCCCATATAAGGGCGTACCCCCCGGGCCTTTTGTTCGCAGCACTGTCTTAAAGGTTATCAAATGAAACGGCTTTCCTTGATTAACGATCGTTGCTTATCGGGAATAGTCAAATTAAAATAAACTAGTGGTATCTTGTTCTCAGTGAAGATAATTCACATTTCTTAGATCTCAACGGCTGAAAACACGAACCGTTCCATCTACAGTACAGCAGTTAACAAAATGCTTTCGAAAAATTGATTGAATTGCTGAAGGTTTGTTTTCATTCAATTTCCTGTACGAGTTTTCGTTCTTTTTCAATCTTAGGAGTAAGCCGACGTGACAGCTTGCGCTGATCTCTCGACATAAGAACATGACATTTCGGCTACCGCAACTTTCCCACCTTAATTTCTGTCATATGGGCGTCACCCACTGACTGAGAAGT